CAATTTTATAATCCAAGTTGATTATGATGACGACAATGATGATTGATGATCAATACATATTTTCGTTTATGTTAATATGTTGTTTCACTGTGTTAAAAACATGTTTTTTTCTATTTAATCTCTAAAATGTACATAATAATTAGTGTACATTGAATTCACAATACAAACAATAGTTCATTCTTGTAAGTTGTACTTGATGAAATTTAATTTAATATTATTTATTATTAATTCTAAGCAAAAAAGGCTTATTACATCTGAATTGTCAAAAAATGACAGCTGTCAGAATTCCGTCGAATTAAAAATCGGACTATAGTGAGTTCCAGCTCTTTCCCAAAATAGTAGATGTGAAAGACCAATTGATATGATGTTTTATTATTAATTAAAATAAAAGAATGCCTATTATGCATTAAGCGACCACCCCACTTGGGCGTGTGCCCGCGAGAATGACCTGACTGGGTTTATCTTTAGACCTGGGACATAGCAGAGGACACGCTATGAATGTCATTGCGAAGATTTCCGAACTACGTGCGTACCCTGCTGATAACAGGTCATCACACACGCGGTAGTTAAAATCAAATAGCAAGCAGCCTTTTATGCACATAAAAATATCATTAGAGCAGGAAGTTTTCACTGGAAAAAAATTATGGGCCAACAACTTGCATATTGGGCATTAAATTTTAATACACTCATTTAATTAAATAAATTGTTTAGAAAACCTTACAAGTTAATTATAAGACCCAAATTTAAAAACCCAAGTTGAATCTTTACATTTAAAAAATACATTACAGCAAACACAGCATAATGGTTGGTTAATTCAATCAAAGTACCTACCAGAACTATTTTTCTAAAATATAAAATTCTTTGTTTCTCAAAATTTCAACCAGTACTTTTTAAGGATGAAGATCAGTAATTAGTTTTATATATCAAATTTAATTTCAGATGCATAATATTATACCTTTTATGTTGTTTGTTGATAATAAACATACCAACAAAATTATTACACTCATTAGGATTATCATGGTAACAGTTACTAGCAGGGCTGGCTGCTAATGCCATCATGACACTGACATAGATAAGTTTCCTAAGGCCACCAACTTATACTACAATTTTATCCTTTTTGTATTGTTAAGGCCAAATGATGAATCTTTGATATTATCAGTGAAATGATTTTACTTTTATCATGTCAGTCATGTGATAGATAAAAATTTAATACTATCTTTAAATTTTTTTTTTATTCAAATCAACTTAATTTATACTTATGCAATTGCCTAATACATCACATGAATATTTCCTATCTAGCACTTCACCAATTCATGATTTTAATACTAGTGAGCAGGCACAATAAAAATAACACTTGTAACAGTTTAGTGTGACAATAACCTAATATGGGTTTAAATTTAAAATCAATCATCATTATAATGATAAGCTATTTATGAACACCTATCAAAGTATTGTAGGTAATTATCTGATTTAGTATTATGGTCATGAAGCTAATAAGTACATCTTTCATGCACACTAAAATACAAAAAATTCCAAAGGTGCATTTGTTTTTTAGAAGGATTATAATTTTGACTTAAGCACATTTTTGAATAAATGAGTCTTAACACTTGGTTTATATGAACTTGTAATTTTACGCATTGTAGTGATAAAATATTTATAAACAGGGAATTTAAACATTATGTCACAAAACTCCTGGAGAAGTTCCTAGTAAAAACACTGATAGAAATTATCTACATTGTTAGTACTAAATGAAATTTAATTTACATTAATTTGTTTAAAGCAATAATTTATTAAATTTAAATGAAATAGGCTACCTACCTACCACCAGCGCGGTCACTGACGCTAGATACAACACGAACACGACACAGCGCTTAGTAGCAATACTCATTTACCGGGAAAACACAAACTTTTTTTTTCTTGTTAAATAATCCTCAACACAATTATTTGAAGAAGACACCGTAAACAAAAAATAACCCTCTAATACTTTTTATTCACATTACATAATATCTTCAGGCAAAATGTGAGTAAGGTTATAAAAAGAGATCACTGTAATAAAATACACATAACAACAACACGCAATTATAACTAAAAATATGTTATATAAAATGGTTTATTTACCTGCAATTCAACCAATTTCGTTGAAGTAATCCTGAAAAGAGCCATGTTAAAAATCCCACCGAGCGCTAACTACCACACAACCACCTAGCTCGCGATCGATCGCATTCGCAAGTGGACGTCGGACGGACGGAACGTGAACGAACGGAACGGAACGTGACATTATCGTCAGTTGCTCAAAGACGTTGATTTTTTCCGTCACGTGATATTTATGACATTTGCATCTCATTTTCATTTCAGTACCTCGTAGGTACCTACTTATAAACTCTGAGTTAGGTATGAACCGGCGAAATGATTAAGTTCACATTCTCATGTAGAACTCAATATAGTGCAACTTAATCGTATTGGTTCCTCTTAACTAATAGGCAGCTGCCTCTCCCTTGCTTGACCCTCACAATCACAACTAGAGTTCATCATTATTTTCAGCTATATGCGTTTAATTAAAAGGTAGCTCAGTTGTTTTGCTGTATTCGGATTTCATTCGGTCGGTTTTTTGTAACTTCAAAAATATGATAATAAAAATTCAAATAACTATTTTGAAATGATCAGTACTTTTTTACGCCTTAGGTTTTCAAGTGAAACCTTAAATTCAAGAAAGGATTATTTTTTAATTTGTGAAAAAATGCTCTCCATTCTTAGTGGGAATGTTTTAATGTTGGCAACACTTCTGAAATGTCAAAATTCCGTTAAATTAAAATTCTTAAAGGTACCCACCATGAAGCTATAGGTACCCACCCATTACCTAACACCCTGTATAGAATGCCGGATTAAACACACTGCGCCGGTAACAGATACACCATGGAAGCCATATTAGACAGACAGATTAATATTACATTTTTTTTTTGTAGTAAGACAGGATACTTTTTCTAAGATTATGATTGAGACCAAGGATAAGATTAAAGGAAACCAGCAATAGAGGACTGCTGGCGGGTGACCTTGCCCGCTGGCAACGTAGTAGGACTTACATTATTTTATAACTGACTAGTGCTATCTTTCTCGCTTGGACATACTAAGCAAGAGTGAGAGCAAGAACGAGTTATGCTTCATTCATTACGCCAATGACTATGTAAGTAATATGGCGCAATTAAACTACAGGGTGGAAACGTTAAGTGATCTCACTGGATTATTTCTAAACTATACAAGATATTCAAAAACTGGTTACTGATCCTGAAAGTGCTTCATGAGCTCTTTCAAACGGTACCAATAATAGGTTACAGAATAAACTGGATCTATCTGAAAATTCAATGTTTCCAGCTTCCATACTAAATGTATGCCAGACACAATATTAGAAGTGTATTTTTTTTTTATTTAATAATAAACTCTTAAAATAAACTCGTAAATTGTATTCTTATTTAAAATTATTCGTGGAAAACATTGGTTTTAGGCTTTACTTGCTATAATATTGTCAAGAGATGGGTGTCATCACTGTGGTAGTACTAAATGTATGGAAGAAGGAAACATTTAATTTTTGGATAGATCCAGTTTATTCTGTAACCTATTATTGATACCATTGGATAGAGCTTGTGAAGAAATTTTAGAATCAGTAATCAGTTTTACGATATCATGTGTGTAGTTTTTAAAATAATGTAACTTTACCAAATGTATGGAAGCTGGAAACATTGAATTTTCGGATAGATCCAGTTTATTCTGTAACCTATTATTAATACCGTTTGATAGAGCTCATGAAGCACTTTCAGGATCAGTAACTAGTTTATTGATATCTTGTATAGTTTAGAAATAATCGAGTGAGATCACTTATCGTTTCCATCCTGTATATGGGAAATTGACTGAGTCAGTTAGCGTAAGCACGCATTTTAGTTAGTTTCGGCATGCGTCGCGCATACTTGTGTTTAATTTTATAATTTTATTTTATTTATTTGGACAACCAACGAGACTGCGCCCCGATTGTGCTAATTTGTGTAATATTTCCAATTTGTTCGCGTTTCATCTGGTCACGCTCCATTTTTCATTCCGGCTGATGTGCAATTTGCTATCGCGGTAAAGTCATGTGCAAACAAAGACGAAACCACGGATTAAAGCACTTTCCATTTAAATCCGAACTTAATTTTTTTACTAAAACCTAAAACACAGCAAAATGTTCGTGCAGCGGTGCAGCGTTTGACTGCGTTTGATAAAAAGTAGTTTTCTGTCAGATTTTACACAAAAATGCAGTTACGCTCCGCCCCCTTAGACAAAACGCACTTTTTGATCGAATCGAAAATCGAATCCGTCAAAACTCCATGCAAAAAAGGGGCTTTTCGACCACTTTTCGACTGATTTGCGATTGTAATTTGCACTTTGTCTAGACCCACCGGTTACATTACAACTTCGTATAAACGTATAAACTGACAGATGATTTTCGTTCGTCGTCTAGTCGCGTTGCAGTCGAAAATATTTAGCGCAATCGGGGCGCTGCGCCCATTTATTGCGCTAATTTTAATTTATTTTCAACATCAACTTCTCCATTGGTCCATTGTTCTGTCCATACGATTCTGCGATACGATTGGTCGTTCAACAGCGTACGTCAGCTGTTTTGACCAATCGTATCGCAGAATCAATGAAGCGCGTCTGGATTGGAAACGTTAAAAGTTACCGTAATCAAGGGCTCAGAGCACCGATTAAGGTAACTTTTAACGTCTACAATCCAGACACGCTTCTCGATTCTGCGATACGATTGGTCGTTCAACAGCGTACGTCAGCTGTTTTGATACATAGTTTGTGCTTCAAGTAGGTATTTCGAGTGTGGCCTCCATTTTTATCATTCATGGGGCTAAAGCTTCGACTTGGACAATATTTGCTGCATAGTGTACTTGCGCCATCCGGTCCGAGTTGGATGCTGTGGTAAATTGGCCCTTCTGCTATTGGTCCATGAGTTATTGATTTGTTGTGTTGGTATTGCATCTCTGTTGTTATCGTGTGCAAATGAGAAACAGCGAGATATTTAATTTTTTAAATCTATTCTTTAATCATTTGATGAATGAGGGATCGCCTTTCCCTCCTCCTGTGTGATAGATTTGTTTGTATTGATTTCCATTTCTTGGACATATCGCTGCGCAGCGCACCACCCACGGCACTTTGTGACGAGTGCGCTAGAGAGTAGTTGCTGCTGTGCCGGTCATAAAGTATTCATTTAATTCAGTGTATGCATTAATATCTAAGCAAGATGCGTTTATTAGTTTGCTTTTTGTTACTATTTCAAGTGCCAATATTGGTACTAAGTCTTAAAGACTTTCGCCTTGGTCGAGGAAAAGGAGGCAGTTTAGGATCACCAGGTGGAGATATCAATGAACCATTACCAGCAGCCAAGTGGTTTAAGCAGAGGCTGGATCACTCCAGCGCTGTGAATCTAATCACCTGGAAACAGGTAAGTACCTAGATGAGAAAGTAGGTAGGTACTTACCCCCTCTCCCTTTTTCCAAAGCTCTAAATTTCACTCGCTGTGCAGCAAATGCATATACTAATGTGGGTAGTGTCGGCCGTTTGGTGTAGTGGTTCAGACCGGACTACTATGCCGAGAGGTCCCGGGTTCGATTCCCGGCCGAGCAGAAATTGAAATGATGAATTTTAATTTCTGTGACGGGTCTGGGTGTGACTATGTATAATATTTATGTATTTAAAAAAAAAAAAAAAAGTATTTAAGTAGTATATCCGTTAAGCTAGCACCCATAACACAAGCATTAAGTTGCTTACTTTGGGGCTAGCTGGCGCTGTGTGAAATTGTCCAAAGATTTATGTCCATAGATTTATATTAAAAGGGTACATAGCTCGTAAAATTGGCCCCGTAGATTTTTATTTTTCTTTGCTTTAGCGAGAAAAAATTTTTCCATCCAACACCCCTTCTCCCACCCTTTGCCACTCGGATCAATACTCATGTTGACCCAAATGCAATTATTATCTTTACAATTATTCATCAACAATATATGTATTATTAATACCATCAACAACGGCAGATAGCTATTTGTTATTTTCAACAATGACAATGTTATGTTTTAACTTTTTTTAATCACATATCGAAGATTAGATTCTGTCTATAATTTATTAATGTTTATTATAACTCGCTCAATGTAGGATATGATCGGTCAAGATCACATTTGCTGGTGCTATAGTTGCTATCGGGTAGCTATGCAATCAGACATTTCAGAAAGTCCATTAACCCACTTGTTATTAGTGTTCTTTTAAAAGAACGCTAGGTTTTACATAAATATTTTTACTAATGTGGGTAGTGTAAACAATTTTTATGTGCAACATTTGAAAGATGAGGTGTGTCGCAGTACTGTCCAAGTCTTATAAGTACACTGACGTAAATAACTATAAAGTTTTGGAGCGATAGTTTTGAGATAAATTTATCATGACTGATTTAAGGTAAGTGATAGAAAAAGTGAATTCCGTAACAAGTGGGTTAAGCTTCTGAGAAGAAGAGGGTTGGTGCGCTTCGAGCATAATGATAGTATATTAATGTGGAAAAATTAAATAGGTACACGCTACATATTTTATATACAGGGTGGTTTTCTTATTAAATATTTGTAATTGGTTGCTCGCAGAAATTAGACTTAGTTACATAATGTCATACTATGGTAAAAACATGTATTAGTAGCCAAATCCATGTACTGATATAAAACAAAATTAATAAAATGATTAAAAAATATATCATATACATATTCCTTCATTTTGCGCCGTCTTGCTGCGCCGATCGATACAGCTAAAGGGCGGCGGGGTGCAGGCGGGGCACGGTCGGGTCAATGCGGTGTGTAAGCGGGGCGCGAGGGGCAAGCGTGTCGGCGCGCGGCGCTCTCAAGCATGCGCGGCGGTGTTATCGAATCCCAGTCGCCCTCAGTCTGTTCTCGAAACATGGCGGACACAGAGGATATAGTCACTACGATGGCAGATACGCTGCCTTTGGTGACATCTTCCCGCAAAACAGCTGCTGCTGTAGACCTCGATGTGACATCTTCTCGGAAACCAGCTCCTGCTGTAGGCCTCGAGGTATCGGCTTCATTTCTTACTGAACTGGAATTTCTTTGTCTTCATACGTAACCTAAAATAGTGGAAATTATTTTGCTGTTGTGACAGTACTATCCTCTGGCTTGTTGTCTCATATTGTGTCCATTCAGCTTAAAAGATTAATAGATTATGTTACTAAAGATTATGTCAATATTTTCTGTAAATGAACCACTTGTATGTAGCTCTTGTTGATGATTTAGTTTCCCAGTCATTCGTGCTTATAAATAAATAAATTTTTATCAACGTTAACAAAGTCTTTGTCTTTCAAATTTTTCACTCTGCGCCGCGCTACTGCTCTGATCGATACGATCAAGGGTCGGGCGGGACTCGTGGGTAGCGCGGCGGGTGGGGCGCGCATGCTCGGGATTTTCGCGCATGCACGCCTTTTTTATCGAATTCAGTCGCCATCGGTCTGTTTACGAGACATGGCGGACACAGACGAAATAGTCACTACGATAGCAGACATGCTTCCTTTGGTGACAATGTCATCTTCCCGGAAAGCAGCTGCTGCTTTGGACCACAAGGTATCGGCTTCGGTTCTTTCTGAGCTTGAATTGCTCTTGTTCTTAACCTAACTTAAATAGTAGATTTTAATCGATATTGTGACAGTACTATCCTTTGAATCAATCATCGGGATTTGTTGAATGTTGTCTCATATTTTATGTATTCAGTTTAATAATAAAGGATTGATTGAATTATGATATTTAAATACATTTATTGTCAATATTTTTTGTAAAAATACTTCTGCCTTTGAGATAAATAAAATTGAATAATAAATGCTAAAAAAAGTCTGTCTTTTAAATGTTTCACTCTGCGCCGCGCTACTGCGCAGATCGATATGATCAAGGGTCGGGCGGGACTCGTGATAGCGCGGCAGGCGCGGCTTCAGTCGCCATCGCGATCGGTCTGTTTTGGAGACATTCCGGACACAGACGAAATAGTCGTAATCACTTGTAGTTCTTGTTGATGATTTAGTTTCCCATCCATACAATTTGTACCATATAAATAAATAAATTTTACGAACGCCAAAAAAGTCTTTGTCTTTACAATTTTATCACTATGTGTCGCGCTCGCGCAGCGCGGCCTGCGGTACTGCGCTGATCGATACAATCAAGGGTCGGGCGGGGCTCGTGTGTTTTCGCGTACCTATGCACTACTTTTTTATCATCGAATTTAGCCGCTAATCATCACTTCGTATTCGAGACATGGCAGACACAGAGCATAGTCACTACGATGGATGACACGCAGCCTTTGGTGGCATCCCGGAAACTACACGAAAGTAGAGAATTATAGTTAACAAGTCGTAGAACAAGGCCCAAGTAGTTTTAAAGCAAGATCTTAGTCGAAATCGACCACTTTCTGTCTCATTCCATACAACGTAAAAGGAAAAAAAATCCAGCCAGACTATTAGTTTTGCAGAAATACGTTTATTGACACTTATTAATCAAAATAATGTAACCGATCGATAGGTAGGTATATTTTTTTAAATAAAAATTGTGAAAATATCTATGTCCAAAAAAACTATTTTCGATCCATAGTGCGGCGGGGTTTGGAGGAGGGGCACGGAGGTTACATATGGAAATTGTTAAGTAGATTAGTTTCATTCCCATATTAAGAGAGTCCAACCTCTTACACCATAATAGAGGTAAGCTTGTGGCTATCTAGATGCTGAATGTTTTTTTAAATTTTAGCGCTACTTCGTCAACGATCAATTCTACGACCGCGAGCGGCCAGGGCCTGCCTTTCTCATGATTGGGGGAGAAGGCCCCGCCGATCCTAGGTGGATGGTGGCAGGCGCATGGTTCGCATATGCCGAGAGATTCAAAGCTATAATGTTCAATTTGGAGCACAGGTTCTACGGTGAAAGTCATCCTACAAAGTAAGTTTTATAATTTAACATTGATAGATACACATTACACACTGTATAAATAGCAGTCCAGTGACATTAAAATTATACAGATACTTATTTTCTGTTAGCAGTTGAATAAGAGTAAAGGTCATAAGATAAAATGTGAACTAGCTGTTGATATTTAATTGTTGATAAACGATGGTCGTGTCATACGAGCTGAACAATATAGGTATGGCTTTGAGATGATTAATATGACTCCTTTTCAGGGACATGTCAACAAAAAATTTGGTGTACTTATCGTCGAGCCAAGCATTAGGGGATCTAGCAGCTTTTATTAAGGCTATGAACGTTGAGTACAAGCTGCCTAAAGATCAGAAATGGGTGGTGTTCGGCGGGTCGTACCCTGGAGCCCTGGCGGCCTGGATGCGCCTCAAGTACCCGCACCTCGTGCACGGCGCGGTGTCGAGCAGCGGCCCCCTCCTGGCCAAAGTTGATTTCAGAGGTACCTACAAACCTCTTGCTTTCTACCAAACATCGAATATTCTTAGTCGATCTGCGCATACGCTCATCAACGAGCAATTCGTGCAAGTTAATTGTATTTTTTTGTCAAGTCGATTGGATGCTAAAGTTCTTTCTTTTATACAGAATATTTTAAAATAGTCGTCGGGGCCTTGCGAGAAAAAACTGGTGATGACCAATGTTCCAATGAGGTCAAGTTAGCCCACAACCAAATAACAACTTTGATGAAGACTCAGCCTGAAGTTATCGAGGCGGAATTCCGGTACGTAGTAAATAAACAACTGATGAAGAGTAAAATAACTCTTTTGTTTGGGTGTTTTAATTTTTTTGTTCTTTAGGGTCTGCAAACCATTTTCTGGTGCGTCGGTCAATGACATCAAAAATTTTTACAACTCAATTGCGGATGATTTTGCTGATTTGGTCCAATATAATGAAGACAATAGGATTGGTGCTGACAAGAAATATAGAAATGTGACTATCAATTCGGTAAGAATTATTTTTTCTGTTAGGAAAAACTTGTGCCTCGTAACATACTTACTGCATTATGCATACTTATTTACATTATCGGTTTTTGTTTGAATAGGTGTGCAAGATGCTCACAAAGCAAAACTCGTTGCCTGCTTATAAGAAACTGGCTCAATTCAACAGTATCATGTTGGATAAATCCAACCAAACTTGCTTGGATTACAGTTATAATAACATGATAAAAGAACTGAGGAATGTTACGTGGGGAAGTGACGAGGGTAAGATTTCTATTTATAATTTTATCTAAGTTGTTAAATTTTGTTAAATAAACATTTAATTCACGTAACATATATTTCAGCTCGTCAATGGATGTACCAAACCTGTACTGAATTCGGATTTTACCAAACGTCTTCAGACGAAGTGGAAGTATTTGGAAATAATTTCACGGTTGACTTTTTCATCCAACAATGCCAGGATGTGTTTGGAAAGAAGTAAGACAAGACTATTTTAAATATTCTGAAATAAACAATACATGGTGTTCTATGGCTTTCTGACTGGTTATTTTATTGTAGGTTCGACGGAAAGTTCTTGAAAGCTGCTGTTGATTGGACCAACAATGAGTACGGCGGCTTGGACCTGTCGATCGCTCGCATTGCCTACGTCCACGGCTCGGTGGACCCCTGGCACGCGCTGGGAATGACCAAATACACGGACAGTGCTGCCCCGGTCGTCTACATTCGTGGTGAGCGATGTTTTCAAAATTATAATCGAAATACTTGTCTCTGAGTAGCTTTAAGGGATGGTGGACGACAGCTATGGAACATTGTTATTCTAGAGGATTTAGTTGAAGGATTCTATCGGACTAAAGTCTGAGATAGCTGTGTTATTTGTACTAAAATAAAGATTATTATCCTTTTAACTCACAGACAACATTCTCGCAAAGCGTTCCTGTTTTGCAGCCACGGATCTACGATTTTTTCTAACCAGGGCAAAATTTTACTGTGGCGCCCCCTTCCAGTACACTCAGCACAGTGTTTCACAAAGCACTACCTTCTTTCCATGGCGGCCCGGCTTGCTCCCGAAATTTGATGTTTTGAAATGAATTTTGTTGCTTGTCCTAGGTGCGGCCCACTGCGCCAACATGTACCCGCCCGCCGATAGCGACTCTGAGGAGCTGAAGCAGGCCCGTGAGGCTATTCTGTCGTACCTGGGCAACTGGGTCTCGTACCCCTGACTCACATGGAAGGAGTGCATGATGCGTGTACTCTCCACGAAGTCGCCCCGGGACTACTCCAACGCGGAGTGTGCCAACTTCTACCTGGCCCGCAAGATTACGCTCATCACCGTCTACTGGATGGGCAGCCTCGCCGCGGTCTCGTCCATGCACCACCTGTACGATGTGTTCGCCGCCCAACAAGTCATCCGTATGATAAACCAAGAATAGCCCCAGCCGCCGGCTTTACGGGCTGGGCCGGATGATCCGGCACTATATCTTCGTTTAATGCGATTATTAATGGTTTACTAAACGGTCGATTACAATTTAGGCTCAATCGAGTCAATTTATGTATTAGCAGTAAGATTTGCGCAGTTCGTCAATTACACGACTGCTTGGTTTATTAGATGTATTGTGTAGCACTAAGCATTATGTGTGTGACCTATTTATTGTTTACAGATTCAGACTGTTTATTATGAGTTACCACATTTTTTTATTTTCTATCGCATGATTGGGCGTTGGGAAAAACTATGGCGGCGAGAAAAGGTAAGGGTGGGCTTCGTGGGATGTAGTCGATAAAATGTTGAGGAGAGTAAGGTAATTAGACTGAAGAGTGGTGCAAAATTTATGAGGGTGGAGAATTTTCTCATTTTGGTGCTGTTCTTTTAGAAACATTTCTCTTTTTTACTAGATTTTACAAAAAACTTAGTTATGATTTATAATATTTCCTATCTACTACTACTTGTAAGTTTTCTAGCATATGATGTTCAATATATCGATCAATTTCGATGTCTTATATGCGTATACTTGGCCAAACTGGCAATCGACTTGATGAAATCAAGATTTGAAGTAGTTTTAAGCAGGCAATTGATATTACAAAACAACGTTTTACTGTAATGTTTTTGAAACGTTTGTCTTTGTAATAAGTTGCATTTGACATGGTTGGCAAATCAACCTCGTAGTTATATTACTCCCTGGCTTTTACAGCCATTATTATTAGGATTAGGACAGCCACGATAACCGAACGGTGAACGCGGGTTCGAATATCGCCGCCGATCGATTATTGTGGCGAGCCCACTCGTAACACGAGGGGCTAACTGGGATATTAGTTATTTGTAGAATACAAATGACTAATATTCTTAAAAAATATATTATAAAAAAGGTAAAAAAATTAAAAAAAAGGAAAAAAAATATTTTTAAGTGATTGGAAGCAACTTGATGTGAAATCCAAGTTTATTATGCTTCAGTAGTGTTCAATGTTCAGTGTCTATTATAGAAGAAACCGATTTTGGTGATCTCTTATGGTCGAGGGCGCCTGGCCCTGCGACTCTCGGGCCGCGGTCCGCCGGGCTTGGAAAGTCCATCATCACTGCGATGGCATGCCCTCGCAGGAGACATCTGCCTCGGACACACAGGTGCCTCACCAGCCCGTACGCCCTGTCTGAGGCTTAACGACCGTACAAGATAATCGCATGATTTACTCAATCAATAGTCAATAGTTGTAAGTCTACGAGAACCCACTTCATTAAAGACTTTGTTTTAAATAGTTTTGGAATTGATATCTTCATGCTTAGTATACAATATTATGTTATAAGCTCATTGTTACTTTTACAATATTATGGATTAAGTAAGCAACTTCCTATGTAAGCTACTTTCGTGTAACGTTATGCTTAAGTGCGCCGTCCGAGAATGGAATCTCAAATAAGTTCCGTGTATTTTATTTGCGAAATAAATCTATTCATGGGTCGACATTTGTCTTATTCATCACTCATCCCTATAATAATAGTATTGACTATAAACTATCTCTAAATATAATTAGGGAAGGTCATAGAAGATAATAATGAACTACGGGGTCATAGATAAATGGTATCAATCCAATTTCAGAACTACAGGGTTCACAGGGTACACATGAAAGTAATTACAAGAAAAATATAAATAAAATTTTAACTATTATTTGTTAGTAAAAAACCTTGTTTAAACGTCTCCTAAAATTTTCATGACGGCGCTTGTTACCCCGCACCACCCCCGCTTACCGCGCTCACCACCGAGCACGATCATGCGACCGCCGCCACAGGAGAGCGGGGGGACTGTCCGATAGCTCGCCCGCGTAATATTACCATTTTTTGATTTGAAAATTGAAAATATATTTTTGGCATCAGTCATTAATCTCAGAGGTATGGGGTCATCCACAAAGTACGTCACACGTAAAGAGGGGAGGGGGTCGACAAAGTGTGACATGGTGTGACAAGGGGTGGGAGGGGTCCTAAGTTTCGTGACATCACATTTCAATTGTTTCAAATATTTGATATAATATTGATTTCATAAAAAAGTACTTAATTTAAATGGAAATAAAACTATTTCGGAACTGCTGTTAATTTAATAATTTTTCTATGTGAAATTGCAAAACATGTGACGTCACACTAGGGAGGGGGGGTCTCAGAAATGTGACTACCTGTGACAAGGACGGAGGGGGGCTCAAAAAATCATGAAATTCGTGTGACGTACTTTATGGATGACCCCTATTATACTCGATATTCGATAATAGATACCTCTGAGATGGGCGTTATTTTACAAAACCACACACTGTATTACATTGATGAGTTGGAAGATAGCGTTAGTTAGCAATTAATTTATTGATCCGTAGAGGACAGGCCGCTTGATTGTGCTTTTCAACCTTACTCCATTCGGAGTCAAATCTTTCTATTCAGTAGGTAATGCTATTCAGCTAAGGTCGATTTAAAAATAAATACTTATTGGACCTGGGGCTAGGATTGCCAGGTCCAAAAACACAAAAGCCGGACTCCGTGCTTCACTTGGCCGGACATTTTTCCCTAAAAGCCGGACGGACATGTCACGGGGGGAGGGGGGTGCAATTAGTGTCATAGCTCACGAGTGAGTACTATCATCGGTTGCCCAATATCCTGTACCTCTAGCATGAAGAACTTTCGTCTTCGAATCGTTTGCGTATTCGATAAAATTCGATACTCAGTCTTCGAATTAAACGATAACGTGACAATTTTGATTCTCAAAATTAGTTTCGCACAACCACATCTCATACTAAGTTCAATTTACGAAACGTTCACAAAGGCGCTGTTGTAGTTTTCTTACTAAATGTTTTGATGGCGATTCGAGTACGCAAACGATTTGAACTCGGAAAGTTTTTCGTGCTAGCCGTACTGATGCCGTGCGCTTTATATTATTCTGTGACTCGAATTTCGCCTGGCGCGGCAGCCACATAAAAAGCCTAACAAAAGCCGGACAGGCCGGACAAGACCGTAAAAAGCCAAACATGCCCTACATGATGAAAAAAATTCGTACTCTTAAATGTCCAAGTCTGTTTCTGCAATCAAGCAATTCCGAAACTTGAGGGGTCTCGGACACAATCATCCACCTAGAGTCCTAGACTGAGCAGGTAAAATTGGTGTAGCTGCAATAACGTTATCCTAGCAGAACCAGTTATTCTTGAATAGGTACTGCTGAAACGGCTGAAGGCTCTAATTTCGGGCTCATTTACACCAGTTTATGTATACGAAACCTTCGTTTTCCACAGTGGCCTCTCGAAGGGAACGCACATAATTATTTGCATCATTAGATTTTTGAAAGGAGACAACATTTTGCTGGGATAACGCAGACATGAAAATTGGTTCAGTTCAGTGGATTAAGCAGGAAACTTAACAAACGGACATTCTTATCAACCGACTTCAAAAAAGGAGGAGGTTCTCAATTCGACCCGTATGTTTTTTTTTTTTTTTTTCTATGTTTGTTACGCGATAACTCCGCCAATTATGAACCGATTTGAACAAATCTTTTTTCGGCGTATAGGTAATACCTCAAGGGTGGTCCCATTTAAATTTAATAATAAAAAAAACAACCCCCAAGGGTGGAAAATTGGGGATGAACTTTTTTATACGCAATATCTCCGCCGATTATAAATCAATTTGAACGATAATTTTTTTGTTGAATAGGTATTATCAAAAGGGTGATTTCATGCGTATTTGAAGAAAATATTTCACCCCCAAGGGTGGAAAATTGGGGATGAACTTTTTTATACGCAATATTTTTAATTTTTAGTTTTTTTTGTGTTCACGCATTTGAAGTCGGTTTTATTTTTTTTAAAAGTTAATTATTTTTATTTTCATTCATATTAGTATGGATGGGTCTAGGTAATTGATAAAACAAAGTGTTAAGTAACATTGCATTTATTCTTCGATGTATCACAGCCGTAATATTCGATAGTACTAAATTAAACACAAAATATTATAATAATAAAAATGGAATTGACAACTTCATACTTATGTAGGTACTAGGTATACCTACAATATCAAATATAATAAGTTCATTCTTACATTTACATTACATTTATGTAATGAACCAATAAAACTTTTTCATTTATCCTTATGTTTAAATACTCAATTGCCATGCAACCGGCATGGCAGTTAAATGTTGCGTTTTTCTTTGCATAAAACAGATAATGTTACGATTCGTCAGTAATTTGTCTCTCTTCAGGCATGATTGCTTCCAGCCTCTTCCCTTTGAGTAGAATATCCATAGTGCTGAAACAGAATTAGTAAAAATTTTAAAGGGCTTAATTTTTTTGTTACAAGTTGTTAAACCACAGCGCGAAGGCCGCTTGCGTTAGCTCATCATAGGTAAGGCCGATTTTATTTCTGGCTTGACTAACCTGATTGGTATTAAAAGCTGATTATATAGCTTAAGAACTATCAAACTTTAAAAATAACATTTGGGGATTATTATAAGATACGATTAGTGTCCCAGTATTCAGTCAATAAATATGGAGAAATCGGCGGTCTTTTTATAAAATGCATAGAAACTTAATTCGTCCAAGATAGAAACGTATGTAAGAGGCCGAGATGTAATCCATTGTTTATGGCTCAACAGCTAGAAACTGAAATAATAAGATTCGATGGATTCCATTTAGTCGATAAACTTTAATAATTATATTTTCGCAGGAAACCAAAATAAATGGTTAATTTAATGGCCTGCAGAATTGTCCAACTTAAGTGGGCGGGGCACTTAGCTCGTAGGACTGACTATTAGACAGAAAAGTTCTCGAGTGTCGACAACGGGACCAAAGTCGTAGTGTGGTTCCTATTAAGTGGACCGACGATCTTGTGAAGATCGCGCGAAGCAGCTGGATGCGCAGAACTGGTCGTCGTGGAGGCTTTTGTCCAGCAGTGGAAATCATTTAGCTAAAACTAAGTGTATTTTAAAGTAAAATAAACTTACAAAGACAAAACGAACACGATGACTTGCGTGGTCATGGTTAGGTAGAATATGGAGTTGATGTAGTCGGTCTGCAGCGTGGCCTTGTACAGTTGCGAGTACACGATGGAGGCAAACATGGCCACTGCGTTCTCCATCACGGAGAGGAAGGCGTAGGCTACACCTGGAAACGGAATACTGAATTAACACACACCTTTTTTTCGCGTTACGACGGATTAGCATTAGGCTAGATTTGCTTTAAGACCGCTGCTTTAAAACTACACTTGCAGGCTAGACGAACGATTGAAAATGAATATAGTAGCAGGCTTTAATGAAATCATTATGACCCTCTCACTGGGAATGTTCGATATCTTTGTTTTCCAATGCTCAGTGTTTCTTTATGAGATTAAACGAATTAAAGTTGCTGGATAGCCCGATGGATTAGCAAAGTGAACTGGCAACGGGCAGGACACATAGCACACAGAACCGTAACCGATGAGGCAGCAAGGTTCCGGAATACGTATCGACAAGCGAAGAGTGACTTCCATCCACAAGCTGGATAGATAAACTCACAAAAGTTTCAGGAAGGCGCTGGATGCAGGTTGCTGCCAAGCGGCCAATCTGGAAGTCATTAGGGTAGGAAGCTCAGCAGTAGAAGTCCTATGGCTGAGCGGATGAGATAATGGACTAAAGTCGCTGGCATAGCTCTACGGATTAACACGCTGAAGTGGCGTTGAGCAGGGCGCAGCATGCAGAACTGATGGCTGATGGGGCAGCAATGGGGCTTTTGAAATGGAGGCCACGTATCAGCAAGCACAGCGTGGTACGTCCACCCACAAGGTGGACAAATGATCTCATAAAGGTAGCAGGAAGGCGCTGGAACTAGCTTATCTGGAAATTATTGGGGGAGTCTATGTTCAGCAGTGGCTGAAATGATGAATTCACTTCTCTCCGAAGCCGGCAGCACTTTAAACGTCATGGAGCGAATAAGCAGTGCCACGCTTGAGCTCAGCGCCGCAGCTTATTTTTTCTGCGCTTGCGTCGTTTCGCAATGGGTAGGGCACATAGCACGCAGAAGTGACGGCCGACGGGGCAGCAAGGTTTAGGAATGGAGGCCACGTGCCGCATCAAGATGGGCAGATGACATCATAAAGGTCCTCAAAGCTACAAGACAGGCTGAAAAGATGCTTATGATGATGGATTAGCTGCGTTGCGTTTGCGTTGTTTCTCACCTCTTTCTGAAGCCAGCAGCACCTTGTACTTCATAGAACAGATGGGTTGATGAACTTTAGTCGCTGGCATAGCTCGACGGATTAGCAAGCTGAAGTGGCAATGGGCAGGGCACAGCCGAACTGACGACCAATGGCACAGCAAAGTTCTGGATTATGTTTCGGCAAGTGCAGCGTGGGATGTCCTCATTAAGGTTGCAAGAAGGCGCTGGATGCAGGCTGCTTATTGGCCATTTTGAAAATCTTTGGGGGAGATCTACGTTCAGCAGTGGACATCCTGAGGGTGAAGTAATGATGATGATGAATTCACCTCTCTCCGAAGCTGGCAGCACCTTAGACGTCATTGAGCGGATGAGCGGCGCCACGCACGGGCCAGGCCTTTTTGTTCGATGATAGTTTATTTATGCGCTTGCGTCGTTTTAGCCGCATAGAGCCGATGAGTTAATGAACTGGTCACTGACATAGCCCGAAGAACTGACGGTCGATGGAAAGATATGGCACAAGATGATGACATCATAAAGGTGATGATGGATCAGCTGCGTTCACGTTGGTTCTCACCTCTCTCCGAGGCCGGTAGCACTTTGGACGTCATGGAGCGGATGAGCGGCGCCACGCACGGGCCCAGCGCCGCCGCCGTCGCGCCCAGGTACATCAGCTTCTCGTCCCACGCGTGGGCGTAGATGAAGTGCCCGGTGATGTGCGCGGACGCACCGATCATCACGATCACCTGTTTGTTGAAACACAAAACTTAATAGTTTTTAAAACGTACAAACTGCAGTTAAGTCAAACATTGTGGCCTTATTACGTAGTTAGTTTTTACGTAGAACAGGGACTCCCCAGTTTACCAGAGGCAAATGAACGGTCTGGGCTACACTCCCCACGTTGGCCAGACGGGTTAGGAAGCCCGATTTTCGCATATTTTACTCACTTAGTCTGCTGTCTGTTGGGGTTGGTCCTATTATATTCTGCCGGTGGCAGGGACGAGGTATCAAGATGTCAGGGGGTAGAAAAGTCAATGCAGGGAACTGCTACGTGTTACCTCGTTCCCGCCACCGCAGTACGGTCGCGAACAAAGTTGTCGAACTATACAGGGTGGAAACGTTAAGTGATCTCACTCGATTATTTCTAAACTATACAAGATATTGAAAAACTGGTAACTGATCCTGAAAGTGCTTCATGAGCTCTTTCAAACGGTATCAATATTAGGGTACAGAATAAACTGGATCTATCTGAAAATTCAATGTTTCCAGCTTCCATAGTAAATGTATGCCAGCCACACAATATTAGAAGTGTAATTTTTTTTATTTAATAATAAACTCTTAAAATAAACTCGTAAATTGTATTCTTATTTTAAATTATTCATGCAAAACATTGGTTTTAGGCTTTACTTGCTATAATATTGTCAAGAGATGAGTGTCATGACTGTGGTAGTACTAAATGTATGGAAGAAAGAAACATTGAATTTTTGGATAGATCCAGTTTATTCTGTAACCTATTATTGATACCATTGGATAGAGCTTGTGAAGCACTTTTAGAATCAGTAATCAGTTTTACGATATCATGTGTAGTTTTTAAAATAATGTGACTTTACCAAATGTATGGAAGCTGGAAACATTGAGTTTTCGGTTAGATCCAGTTTATTATGTAACCTATTATTAATACCGTTTGATAGAGCTCATGAAGCACTTTCAGGATCAGTAACTAGTTTATTGATATCTTGTATAGTTTAGAAATAATCGAGTGAGATCACTTATCGTTTCCACCCTGTATAAGAAAAAAGCTGACCTATCAAAACGGTGTCTATCGCTTAACTCAGACAGTGCCTGAGGTATGGGAGCGGGAGGGGTGATTTTGACATATTATTATTATGACGCGAGATATAGATGACCCAAGCTGAACTGTCCCACCAAACTCAATGACAGGGGGGCGCTACCATCGTTCAACTATATGGTTTCCAACATGGCAAAAATCGGAATCAGCGATCCGGTATTGACGGTGGCGCCCCACTGTCAATGTCATGGATAGGACAGTTCAGTATTTTGGAACTATAACATACAAATCTGAAGTCTCACTGCCATTATTTTGACGTAACAAAACACCCTCCCGTGCCGCTCTCATACCTCAGGCACTGAGTTAAGCTATACAGGGTGGAAACGTTAAGTGATCTCACTCGATTATTTCTAAACTATACAAGATATCGAAAAACTGATTACTGATTCTGAAAGTGCTTCACAAGCTCTATTAAACGGTACCAATAATAAGTTACAGAATAAACTGGATCTATCCGAAAATTCAATGTTTCTAGCTTCCATACATTTAGCAAAACCATATAATATTAAAAACTATACAAGATATTAAAAAACTGGTTACTGATCCTGATCCTTCACGAGCTCTATCCAACGGTACCAATAAATAGGTTACAAAATAAACTGGATCCATTCGATAATTCAATGTTTCCAGCTTCCATACATTTAGTACAGCCACAGTCATGGCACTCATGTCTTGTTAATATTATAGCAAGTAAAGCCTGAAACCAATGTTTTCCAATAATAATTTTAAATGAGAATGCAATTTACGAGTTCATTTTAAGTGTTTATTATTGAATAAAAAAAAATTAATACTTCTAATATTGTTTGGCTGGCATACATTTAGTATGGAGACTGAAAACATGAAGTTTTCGGATAGATCCAGTTAATTCTGTAACCTAATATTGGTACCGTTGGATAGAGCTTGTGAAGCACTTTCAAGATTAGTGACCAGTTTTTCGATATATTGTATAGTTTAGAAATAATCGAATGAGATCACTTATCGTTTCCACCCTGTAGATCGTGCCATCCACAACGCGCGCCACCAATTTTTGGTCTCGGTCGCGCGGGGTGCGGGGAGATTGATCCGAGCAATCCGAGCGTCATTATTGTAGTGTGCGTGTGCACTCATGGATGATTTAGCGTGTACCGATAACACTCAAACATTAGCGGAAGAATAGTGATTAGTGGTGCGTCTTCGTGGATGAAACGATCTGTATTAGAGATGGGTTATACTAGGTAAATTTGATACTAGGTGCACCTATTCCTAGTATTTATTAATACTCGATCCAAATACCTATTCCACCTAGTACGTAGTAATTTAGCATACTTGACGCGACTAGTGCGGACTAATCCACGTAATATGACTTTAAAATACATTTTTTTTTAAAAGATACAACCGTAGTATGAATAATGCAATTTGAAATTGAATAATAATTCCTCCCTTCATACTTCAACAGGTTTTGGACTGTCAACTTAAAAGTTGGCGTATTTAAAAGATATCAATTTCATAAAAATATTTACATATTTTTTCTTATTTACATGAATATGGTTTGACTACGTTTGTGTGCGTTTGCTTCGTCGCGCTCAAATTTGTTTGGTCAGACAGAGACGGAGTGAATCTCTACGTTCGCACATAAGCTTAGCGAGAAATACTAGGTGCGCGTAATACACGACTACGGATTACGCAATAAAATAACCTCTATTACTTTGATGGTAGGGTCGGAAATCGTGTAATTTATAAAATACTAGGTGGATCAAGTATTTAAAAATTGGAATAGGTGCCGCCTAGTACTGTAAAATACCTAGTGTGTGGATCTGTTCTAGTAAATACGTCTCATTTCTAATCTGTATAGTACACGCACCGTATCTCTCCAGTTGAGGAGCCTGGTCATCAGCGGAATGCCGCACAGCATCACGACCACGTACGCCGTGCTGAGATACGTGCGGAAGTAGCTGAAGTCCGTCGCGTCCCATTCGAACACTATCGTCGTGTATAAGTACATCACGGGCCGTTCATCTGGAAATATCGAATACATTTATAAAATATTTAATAATGTATAGAACATTGAGAAATATTTATAGGTCGCGCAACGAAAGTTGAGACGAACTCACACTGTTGTAATATTTGAATACACAACACACACCTTACTTTATTGTCGTTCCGACAACGCAATACGTCAGAGCAGATAGCGTAATACATACACAAATCTTTGCTTGTGTTGATGGCCTCAACTCTCGTTGCGTGACCTATAAATTAGCAGTGGGCGGGGCGTACCTCTTTGGAATGTATAAAATGCCATAGATATAAGCAAGAACCAGAGGAAAAGGCGTCTGTTGTTACATCTAGGTTTCGTTAACGTCACTAGTGTCCTTTTAATGTTGTTAACGTCGAAGAAATCCGTGATTGGGTTCTTGACTCCTGCCTCCCTCAGAGTTTTTTGAGCGGGACTGGTCTGCCATTTGAGAAAAAGTATGCAGTGCAGTGTTGCCAGTACCATGAGACACGTGTTTATTGCAAACATAACGGTGAAGGATCTGTTGACCACTTTGTTGAATAACACATTCCCTGAAACAGAAAGTAATGGGGATGTTGCCTGGGTCAAAAAGCAAGAGTTTTAATTAGTCCGTCAGTTAACTTATCAAAAAATACTCTACACGTATTTTTCACTTTTTCAAACTAATGAAAATTTAAAGAGATAAAGCGCCCCAAAGTTCATAAGAAGAGGCCCGTGACGTCAACGCTTGCTTAAAAATGCCGCACGTTGTGACGTCGTGCGCAACTTCAACGCACCATAACTATGTAATTATTTGTTAGATTGACAAATAAAAATATATGTGTCCAATATTTTTTGATATTAAACATTACGGACTAAAAAAATTTTTTTAGGCAACTAGCCTAGGGGATGTTGCCTGGGTCAAAAAGCAAGAGTTTTAATTAGTCCGTCAGTTAACTTATCAAAAAATACTCTACACGTATTTTTCACTTTTTCAAACTAATGAAAATTTAAAGAGATAAAGCGCCCCAAAGTTCATAAGAAGAGGCCCGTGACGTCAACGCTTGCTTAAAAATGCCGCACGTTGTGACGTCGTGCGCAACTTCAACGCACCATAACTATGTAATTATTTGTTAGATTGACAAATAAAAATATATGTGTCCAATATTTTTTGATATTAAACATTACGGACTAAAAAAATTTTTTTAGGCAACTAGCCTAATAGGCTAGTTGTTGCAACGTTACAATACAAGTACATGGAACGCTACGGCTTTGGGCATTGTTCCTCCAAATGTTATTACAATGAGACTCGTAACATTTGTGCAGGTGGTGAAATGAGTTCTCGTCGAAAATTATTTACGAGTAAAACCCAATAGCAGTGTTTCTTACTTTTGTATGTAGTATTTACTAGAACTGTAGTTCACTACATAATTAAACAAAATATTGCATTATTTTTAAAACTGCGTTACGTATAGTTATTTTATTAGTAATGCCACAGATTAATAATAAGTACTACGTACAGAAAGTTTTCTTGGCGAAGGTATTTAAAAAAAATGAATGCTCAATGCTGTCAACAGTATGGTGTGATTTAGCTTAGCTCTAGAGTCAAGCACCGCATCGTTGACATAATGTCAGTGATCGGTATTGTGACGGCGCCATAGGGCTGACTTCGGTAAACTAATGTGTGACGTGAAGTGCCAAACTTCGGAAAATGGCGGTGGAAATACATGATTAATTATTTTATTATTCAGGCAGTTAAATATTGCACAATATTTAATACAACACCGTTTTTTTTCTACTTTCCATCATACATAGTTTATGTAGAATACGCGTGCGTGCGTCAATGGTCGCTCGTGATTGTCCTGTCGACTAGATATCCTAGGAGGTGTCGTCGCGCGTATTTTGTTTTCCACGCAAACTCAGTAATGCTGAGTGGCACCATCTTACTTTAACTATAACAATCGTCAACTTCATGCAAAAACACCGGTAAAATTTATAGTTCCGGTTAAAGTTAAGACGATGCAACTTTTCTTTAGATAAAAAATAAATAAAAAAAAGACTAATGCGTTGTTTAACGGATTAAGTAGGCGGAAAAACGAAAGAAGGTATTTGACGTACGAGAGCAGTCTATTTGGCACTCGATATTCAGATAGTTCTTACCAATAGCGACTCCAGTGGGCATAGTGCTCAAATAGACGACGTCCAAGATCCCCACTCTCAAGGTCCGATTCTTGAGCGAAGACACGTCAGCGATGTAGGCGAAACACGCGGCGAAGATCGATAGGTCCGCGCCCGTGAGTGCGCTCGGGAACGTCGCCACGTAGATCACGTACTCCAGAGGCCATGCTGGAATCAGTGGAATCAGGATTTTGAAGAAGTATCAGTAATTTGCGAGAACGAATCACAAATGAGGAGATCCGTAAACGAACTATAGTCGCTGACATAGCCCGACGGATTAGCAAGCTGAAGTGGCAATGGGCAGGGCACATAGTACGCAGAACTGACGGCCGATGGGGCAGCAAGGTTCTGGAATGGAGGCCGCGTACCGGAAAACGCAGTGTGGGACGTCCACCTACAAGGTGGACCGACGACATCGTAAAGGTAGCAGGGAAGCGCTGGACGCAGGCCGCTACCAATCGATCAACATGGAAAGCATTGGGGGAGGCCTATGTTCAGCAGTGGACGTCATTTGACTGAAAACAACGAACGAACGAAGCTCTATAGAACAATTTAACAATACAACTTTATCTTGTCGTTNAGTACATATTACAAATAATAATTGATATTGTGTATTGTTTTATTAGGGAAAATAATAAAAATATGATTATTTTTAACTCATTAGTTTTTTTTTTGTTCACTAAAAGTTTATTTTAGACGACTATTCGCCGAATGCCGAATAATACTAGCTATTATTCGGTATTCGACGAATATCAAAAAAATGTCGAGTAATGCCGAATACCGAATAATAGCGAGTATTCGCGGCAACTGTAATTTGTACTAATTGACCTAGGTCTGAGAAAGTTAGGCCATGTGAAACATAAATAATCAAATATCCAATAAAAGAAACATAAAATGAGAAGATTGAATAGTAAATCTAATACATAAAACATTCAAAGTGATGCTCTACCCAAAATTTCTTTAATAAGTTTCTAGGAAACTTCGCCCTACTTATTTGAAAATTATTGTAAGTAGGTAATGGTATCTTCTTTTGCTTTGTTATTTCTTGATATTTCGGAATAATTTCGACTATTTGTAGGGATTTATTTAGTAAGTAATTCGTAATTGCAAAAACTCCGTTATTTCTTGATATTTCAGAATAATTTCGACTATTGTAGGGATTGATTTAGTAGGTAAGTAATTCGTAATTATAAAAAGTCTCGTAAGAACTTTGCGTAAGTTATGTTATGGTAATGTGGGAAGAAATGAAGAAGTCTACAGCGAACCTTAATCAAAATAAACAGAAGGTCGGGTTATTCCTTTCAGGCTCAGGTACCGAGTCAGCAAAGGTTAAAGTACCTTAAGGAACTTCTAGTCCTACAACCCAGATTGAAGTCTTAACTAGTTTTAGTTAAGACCTAAAAGCCGGTGATGACTACGTATGTTTAAACTAAATTAGGTTTTTTATGTAACTAACAACTTAGGCTATAACTAGTTAGTTGAAAACTTATAAAACTTGTTGAAGTAGGTATCATCAAAGGACCCGATAATTACGTAAAAATATAATATTATCATCGATAATAATTAAGTTCCCATTATGAAAATATCTAATTTTTAATATAGGTACTTACCCACCCCTCATCCAACGGCTACGAGTGTGTATACTTAATTGAAAGGAGAAATATTGAATGGGCCAATATTTACAGGTAATTAGAAACTCTCCCTTTTTGTATGCTACAGGCACGCTGCATTGTGTAGGTAAATTCCTCAGTAAATTCATAATGAACAGAAAAGCCACGCGGGTAATTACACCTCCATTGATTCATTAATCAGGCTATTGTGTGGCTCTATGGCGGTAATTAAAACACTCGTGCCCCACACATTATGCCAAATATTTGCTTTAGATATACTTTACTCGTAGCTTTTGAGCGATTGTAAAATTGATTTGTTAGAACAGATAATCGACTTACAAAATAAAGTTAAGTCGATATACCTAGTTTTTTTTTCATTTGTTCCCATAACAATCTATAGTTCATACCTGCACTATCTCATACCAAAGTACATTATTATTCTGTGCTCATAAATAGAAGAAGCCAAAAGATAAACAGAGTACCTAATAGGAAAAAAGGCCTTTCAAACTTTCATTGGGATATTTCTTAGTTCCACCTTTTTAATAAAGATTAAAACTTGAAACTAAAATTCGATGTTAAGAACACAACTTTTCATAATTTCTCACCTTTTTCGCGCAGAGAGTAGATCGTCTTATCTGTGCCTTGATGTATTGCAAGCACAACGCGCGCCCTTGCCTAACCAGTTGTGGCTTGACTTGCGTAGGAGTCGCCAGGCACCAACCTAAGGTAGCCGACAGTCTCCGCGACACCGCAGCCGCTGCAGCGCTGGACACCATCGTGCTGAAGCGACGCTTTGTCCGGTCCAGTGGCGAAAGCGAACGGCTAGGTGTTGTGCGGGTTATATCTAAAATAAGAAAATGAAGAAGTTAGCAGCAGTTTTAATTTTTCGTACCGACTTCAAAAAAGAAATCTAAGAGGTAATTTATGATCCCCGATTGTTCGGAGACGGCTGAACCGATTTGAAAAATTATTTTTACAGACCTAGTTAATTAAGTATGGGATGTAGTACTAGGTATTTATGGATATAAATGTTACGGTCAAAGTGATAAATGTGAAAATTATGAATAATCGCCGGTTATTATGAATAATTACCGCATGATTTGGTTAATGTGATTAATATGAGGTCATTTATGTGTGTATAAAACTAAATAGGAGGCTTAGGGGTGGCCCAAGGGCCCCCCCCGCCGCACCTTAACCTATTTTTCAGTTTAAATCAAAACATTATGTTATAGGCATCATGGAAAAGTAATATTATGCAAGAAACATTCCAAACTCATTATGCCAAATTATATTAATATATGATATCAAAACGTTCAAAAGTTTGGCTGTACACGAGCACGTACACAAGATGTTGTTCTCTTTTAAGAAATTTGTTAGTACTAAGATTGAATTAATAAATAATCACTGTTAAATGTGATTAATTTATAACTTTTACAATAACCGGTTATTATCAATAATTTTCAATTTATCACATTAACCGTAACATAAATAAATAGGAGCAATAACAAACTAATTATAAAACTGTAGTTTATTTATCCAAGCTTTAGACACAAGTTATAATAGAACCTTTGACGCGCGTCGTATTAAAAGCTCAACAAAATATAAAAAATATACACAATTAAACATCCCACGCAAGTCAAACTTTCTTTGAGATGGTCAGGGAATAATAAACTCCTACACATCCACGTAAAATAAAGAAGTTAATTTTAGTTTCCCTGAAAACAGACACTTTCAGGTGCTTTCAGCCGTAATTTTATGATGGGTTTCCTTTGTGTTGTTATAGTCGTTGTCATATTTTTAGAATAAATACACGGGTAAGTGCTAAGTATGACCTAACCTTACTTTATTTCCTAGTACTTATTATTTTACGGTGAAAATTTCGGGCTGGCCGACTCGTGATCCGAGATTCGAGGGTTCGAACTTCGAACCCGCCGCTGCACGCTGGCCGTTTTGCGTTGCTGCGACACACATTACGGTATAAAGTGTGTCTGTCTGTGTACCTAGTATTAAGTATATTGTGTCACAATGTTTTTTTTCTGCTGCTATACTCAAAGTTGTGGGTACTAATTTTAAGCCTACTTTTGGTACTTTCTATTTACGTTTTATCTATCTATCTAAAAATACTTACGTGGCATACCCAGCAGCCCTTCAGCGCCCGGCAGCGCAACGAGAGGCGTGCTCAGCTTTCTACGCAGCGGCGGCACGTACTCGTCGTAGTCGGTGTCGTCGTCGTCGTCGGCGTCGGGCGCCGTCACGTGGATGGCGATGTTTTGTGGCGGCCGGTACGGAATTCTCCATCGTAGGTCGTTTAAAAGCCCTATCTGGAAAAAAAAGTCACATTAATACTCTTTTTCTTCTTATCTTGATTAAAGGTCGTGACATTGTATTGTAAGTTACAGGTATGCGTTAACGCTGAGGTTTCGCTGTCATAGTTTCTCAGTAGCGGTGCACGGTACGGGCGGGACTAACGCCTGTATTCACAAACATTACTTTGAGGTCACAGTGTGCGTGGACGCACAGGGTGACACATGAACTAATCACAGAGCTCTATTCAACGCTGTGCGTTTGATTTGCTGCTTCACTTAAGCAATCATCGTTTGTGAATAGGTACGGGCGTAGGTAAATCACCTCTCTTTCTCTACTTATACTTCAGGATCTAAATTTGGCCTCCTATGAAACTTGACCAGTAAAAGTTGAATACTTAGTTCTGAGAGATGGCTTCTGTTTTGGAATTCGCAAAATAGTAGGTACCTTTTTTTTTTTTTTTTTTTTTTTAAAAGGATTATTAGTAATTTGTTATTTCACAAATTACTAATACTCCCGTTAGCCCCTCGTACTAAGCTAAATATGCTTGTGTCACGAGTGAGCTCACCACAATAGTCGAGCGGCGGCGGGGACCGAACCCGCGTTCCCCGGATCACGAGTCGGCCAGTCCGACCCCTTCACCGTTCGGCTATCGTGGCTATTAAAACCTACCTACCTAAACCTACCTACTTTAAAGGACCGGACTACCCTAATAAACCTCCGCACCGCTGCGAAACTACGACAGCAAACAAATGGGCACACACCATTGCGTTCGCTTTCTCATACTCGTATGAGAAACATGTCGAAGTGAACGCAGAGATTATTAAAAGTATATTAATTATAGCGCCCAAATATTTCGTGAATGAGAGCTTTTACGTTTGAGTAGTAAAATCCCAAAGTCTTAAAAGTTTATTCTAGCGAAACCAGGATTTTATTCGTTACGTAATAAATGGGAAAAACATTACTATTCCAGACAGACTTCTAGAAATGACTGAACAGTTGGCCTGGAAGCATCAAATCGCGAGTAGCAATCAATACTTGATTACCAGAACAGCTGCTGGCCCATTTTCAGAACTATGTTCATAATTTTGTTTTATTGAGCAGTTTTTGCTTGACTATTGAATTAACGATTATGATAGGAATAAATAAGTCTGTGAAAGTACATTATTTTATGAATATTCACTGGTTTTGGATGGATTTCATGCAGTTACGACCTCTATTAACATTTTGTGCTAGTGCTCAAATAAAATGTAT